GGTAGACCAAAGCGAAGGTGGGAAGATTGCTTTAACGCTGATTTGGCGGGTTTGGGTATAGACGGAGCCCTGTGGATGGAAGAATGTGGCCATCGATTGGTGGTATCGGCATCGGACCTTCGGGTTCGCTAAGCCTTGTTATTATTATTACTAATAAAAAAAAATACTACAAATAAGTTTGGAATCGTATATTATTTTTTTGAGATTTTCCTTGTGAAATAATTTAATCTTTCCTGCCAGCGAAGTATTGTAAATCAGGTTAAATTCAAGATGTTCGGAGTTTTGAAAAGATCCCTCAATAGCGATGTTTTAGCTAAAATAGAAAAAAACAAAAATAGAACTTAAAATTTTTAATTTTATACATTTTTACAATTTATTCGAAAACGGCGATGGCGGTTTGGTTATCCTTTTTTAAATAGCATGACAAGTCTTATAACTCATTTTTAAAACTAATTTCTCTACAGGATTTACTTTTTTTAAAAAAAAATAATAATCGCTTGTAACTGGTTATAAAATATAATTAAATACAAACCATAAAAACATTTCATAATTAATTTTATAATAAGGGTTCGAGCGTGCCCAGAGGTTTACAATTGCTTTCGAACGTGCATGCTATATCATAGATGAGGAATATGAGGAATGTTACGACGTGCAGCCGTCATAATTGCTATCTCTAATATTAATTACTATTTTGTCAATAGATTATGGCTTAATGAAAATGGAAATCTTGTACATGCCTTAATAATAAATATAGTAGTCTGCTTTATTGCTTTACTTAAAATGCGGCCTCTAATGATAAAAAAATGTTCCTGGCTTATCTGATGTATTATAGATATGAGTTACATTTTTTTTTTTTTTTTTTTTTTTTTTCGCAGCACTCTTATCGAATTGACAAGATTTCTCAGCACTCATGTTAGACTAAAATTAAATCGTGGCATCCTTATAATTAATTAAAACATTAAAGTATACAGCTGTTAAAGGAAATAGACAGTGATGTAAAACGAATGAATTTAACAGATCAGATATTTTTCGAGGTATATGTTTTTCAGTCTCCCATGTATGTAAGATGTATTGCTATCATAGGAGGGTGGTAAGCTACAGTTGTGTGGTGCGCACAGCGTATAAAATTTTTGGATTAGATTCTCTTAAATTTCTCTATTTAATTATCTTCTAAAAAATCGATATAACAAATAGAGGCATAACTATTTTACATTCCCGTTAGTATTTATGAGGTGTTAAGCTGGATGAAACACTCACTTTATATAAAGTATATATAGGAACGTTGCTTAATTTAAATAATTCATGAAATGTACTTATAAATAAATCTAATTTAATATATATATAAACAGCTATATTTTTGAAATTAAAAAAAAAAAAATCTGGTGCGAGCAACATCTAACATTCACTTACTGCTCTACTTCCAATAGAAATTATTTTCGGGCAATGTTGGGCTTTAATAAAGTTTTTAAGTGCATTTTTAATCGAGTTAAACCTAAAAGCTTACAACTTTACCATTTTAATAACAAAAATCCTATTCATTACATCAACGATTGATTTTGGATTATACGATTATCAGATATTAAACCTTCGTCGTAAACCAACGACTTTCTGTCCTACAGTTTCCTTTAACAATACTCCATTTATCCCTGTTCAGCAAATCCGATACCTAGGACTCCACCTGGGCAAACGACTAACTTGGAATCCTCATACTAGACTGAAACGACAAGAAACCGCTCGACGTTTCCGATTACTTCAGCACTTACTAGACAAACGCTCTAAACTTCCCATTAATTACAAAAGACTCATATACTTGACTATAATAAGGCCTATTTGGACTTACGGAGTTGAACTATGGGGCTCCACTAAACCATCGAATTCCTCTCGCACCCAATCCTTACAATCCAAAATCCTTCGTAAAATCCTCAATGCTCCTTACTTTGTCACTAATAAAATTATCCATAAAGATCTTAATGTTCCTTATGTTTCAGATCTGGCCCAATCCAGATACCTATCCTTCCATAATAAACTTCAGAATCATCCCAACCCTCTCGTTTCTAACCTTGCTTCCTCTTCAATCCCTGATAACCCTCCAAGGCGTCTGAAAAGACGATGGCCCCGTGATCTCCTAATGTAGTCATATCATTAGAGTGCTACCATTGGGTAGTTACTCAACAAGTGTATTGATGTCATTATAGCTATTATGTCCAAATTTATTTGATGTATTTATGTAATACAGTTGTAAATGTCATAAGAAATAATAATAAAAAAAAATATATATATTAAACTGTTTTTTTCCCAGAGCAAAGTTTACTAAAATGGAATAACGAGATTTGCAGTAACTACAGTAACTAAATTATAAATTATTTATACTAAACTACAGTAAATGTATTCAAGGTTATAGACATATCCATGAAATATTTTTATATTTCACTTCTTCTTTTATACAAGTGCAGTGAAATAGTATTTTAAACAATGTCCATTGTCTTGATTCGGTGGATTTTAACTACTATTTTTCAGGATTTTAATTAATTTTAATTGGATTTTAACTGTTAAACCCAATTGACAACAAGCAAAAATAGAATTTTATAAGATTAATGAACGGTCTGTGGCTGGATATATAGTTGGAGAACTTCTTTGGATATTTAGACACATTCTATAAAAAATATGTATACATTATCGATAATAATAATAATGTGTGAATTGACTAGCTTGTTATTTACTATTGTTTGAGGGACTTTAGATAGTTTTTTTTTTTTTTTTTATCTTTCAATAATAAATAATAATTGTTTTAGTTTATTTTCTGAGAAAATTAACATTTATTAATATTTAAAAAAAGTTAAATAAGAATAATATAAAATTTAAATTTAATAGACTTGATTACGTTAAACTGCAATAATTCGATAAGATATTATAACACAGTGATGTCCCTGGGTGAAGGAGGGGGGGAGCGTGGGCGAGGGGGCTCTGCACCAGTTAATTGAATAACTTCTTTTTTTTAAATTTTAATGGAATTTATTCTTTGTAGCTTCATTTAATCAATTGTATAAATACACTATTCAGAAGATATTTTTTATTTACACGGTTTGTTTTCGGAATCACCAAAGAACTGTGGCGGATCTATTGAGGGGTTGGGTCTTTCTGGCTGAGCCCCTCTCCCTCCCCCCTCCAAAAAAAGTTAAAATATAACCATTTCTCATGAAAAAAAGTAATTACCTCTAAAAGTATTATTGTTCATGTAATTACAGTTAGTAGTACTTAACGAACCATTTAAAATATAGTAAATTTATTTTTTTAAGGGGTCTCATAAATAAATCTGCCTTGGACCCCAAATGTTCTAGGTACGTCACTGTTCGAACAACCATTTCATAAAAAAAACGACAATCTAAAGAAGCAATTAATCAACATAAAAATTATTTGCATATTAACAACATTCTGCTACACACTGTTTTTGGAATCGATATTTGGTACTGAATTGGCTGGAGAAGCAGTGAGCAACTTAATAACATGGTTGTCACTTCTGCCAACAGTTCAACACCAGCTAACAATACTGTGACGTAAATTGCTGTCAACATCGACCCGTATCGATTGGAGGTAATTAAACAGAAAAATAAGTTACTGGAAAGGTCTGGTGCAAGATAGAGGTGGGATCTATTGATATACAAAAAAATGCCTCATCGAAACCACTTCTCAAAAAATGTAATTGAAAAATATGCCTTGTATATATTAAGTATTACGTAAACCTAGTTCTGAAGATGATTGGGTTGAAACGTTGGACATAAACATAAAAACGACTTAGTCATGCACTAATGCATAGTTTCTTTAACTGTTCAATGTTCCATCAATAAGGAATGCTTTAATGAAACTCAATGAAAAAGAAGTTCTCTTAGCCAATTCGATTGCAGAGATGCATCTAAAGAAACTATTATGTTATTGTTAATTGAAACAGGCCCGTTATCTCCTTTTATTATTCGATAATCAATCGATACTTTAACGTGTTTTTCAGCCATTGTTTAACAGAAAAAGAAACGTCAACGAGGCTGGAAGGAATCCTTATTCATTGAGTTTCACTAAAGTATTCCTTTGATTATTTATACGATTTATTTAAGTTGTTGCTTTTATTAGTTTAATTTCTTTAATTTATATAAATGCTTATTTTTAGCATTATTATTTTGATGTTCTTCTGTTTAATTTATTGTACATACGGTATGAATGAAATCCAGTATCACTATTCACTAATGTCCTTATTTGAGACAGATTGTAATGTTGTTCAATAAAGAAATTTAAAAAAAATAAAAAAATTATTATTCATCATCCATCATTTAAATCTTGATTTTTTTTTAACTTGATTTTTTTGGTGGTCCTTTGGTTACAATTAATATTTTACGATATGTTAATAAATATTCCTCCCAACAAAATTCAAACTACAGACTGTTGAAAAATTTATTTTTGTATTTGTAAAATATCGCATAACATTATTTTTTTAAAGGGCGAATTCAAGAACTCATTATCAATATTGTTTTCCAATAATATTGAGATTTTATTATTTCAAACATAATATATAGTAAATAAAAAGAATAAAGCTCAAATCGTTTATCTTTAATTTGTGAATCCTCAGCAAAGAGATTAGCCTAACGAATGTGAAATTAATTACGAAGTTCATCACTTAGAAAATCACTAAGTCGTTCAATTTCTTCTTTTTTTTTTGTTCTGCAAGTTGATATCTAAGTTAATCTAGCCCATTTATGTTGTTTTTTCTTAACCGAAATTGAACACCGATATTTTTTTTTCTTGAATGCCATGAAAAACGAAAAAATAGACTAATGATGTTCATCTGTAAAGGTGTAATTTTTTTTATTTCATTAACACAAATTTTAATAAGTATCTACAATATATATATATAGTAATAAACAATAAATATTGATTAAGTCTTGCTTCAATTAAGACATCAACCTCAGATATTAACAACCTTTTTCTCTGTACAGGATGATAATAAAACAGCTTTAAATATAAATGTTTTTATTATTGACAATAACTTTATGATAAGGTTCCTATAAATAGTTAACTATACAACAATACATCCTAAATATTAATAAATTATTTCTGTGCAAAAATAATTTATCTCGAAGAATGTCCATGATGCTTTCTTTCACGTTCACTCTGTTTACACTTTTATATATATAACGTGTGTATATATATACATGTATATATATATGTATAGTGTATGTACATGGAGGCTTCAAGCCCCATCTCAGCTGCTCAATTGCCGTCAGTCGGACGTCTTCAGCTGTTTCTCTGCTGGTTCTTCCGCAATACTGCAACAGAAAAAACTAGTTAATCGTCTGTCACTGCTGAAAGTAACACCCATTATTAAAGGCGTTCTCCAATCAATAAATAATATATATATATATATATATTTTTTTTTTTAAAACTTAATTATTTAAAATATAATATTCAAAGGTCGATTGGAGAAATTTTGTAAAAAAATATTTATATATATTTAGTTCAACCAATGATTAATTCTATATTAACTAACTCTTATGCAAAATATCGAATGCAATATATATTTGAACTTCTGAAGACTGACCTCTTAAAAATCGAAAATCTATACGTAGCAATTTTTTTTTAGGACATTGCATTTTGATTAAAATAAAATAATTATACATTGAATAAAACACACACACATATACATACATACATATATATATATATATATATATATATATATATATATATATATATATATATATATATATATATAAAATCTAGTTTCAAAAATAGAGTTTTATGGATATAACTGTGTCCAGTCGTTTCTTATTGTAATTAGGATGAAAACAAAAATTTTTTTTTTAAAACACCAATTCATGGTAATGTCAAATATATGATGAGTGAATGATATATATTTATAATATGGGACAGATAATAAATTTCATCGATATTGAATTTTAATCGAAAATTTTGTTTCGATGCCTAAAATTAATTTTAGTATCATCGAATTATTATTGTTGTGTGTATAAATATAAATATCTATTTCGACAAATCAAAGGAATGTTTCAGTTTAAATAGAGTTTTTAAAAAGTTGTGAAGTGTCTCTTGATCAAAAAGTTTAAACACTTCAAAAGTTTTAACTTATTGACAATGATATCACTATCAATTCGTACTCCTTCAAATGTTTTTATTTTTTAGATTAAAATCTGATTTGACCGATTCCTGTATTTAATTGATAGGATAGTATAATTTAAAAAATATATACTAACGAATTAATATTTTAAATTGCTTTAACAGTAATTAAACTTCATAACAAAAAAGGCTAAAATTTTGTAAGGCTCTAAAAAGTAGGCATTTCTGACATATGCTCGTAAGCCATAATGCGATAAGTATGTAGTAATGGACGCATTAACTAGGAAAATGACATTAATAATTTCATTCGTTTACTTTCAAATAATTGAATAACATATCGTTGTCTTATTGAAAAAAAGTCACCAAGTACATTGAATTGACGAAGCTGTACGTTTAAGAACGCTTTTGTGAATTTCGAACTTATTTATCAATAAAAAACACAGTAAACGCACCACAATTTCATACATTTTTTTTATATCTGATAAAGTTAAAAGTGCACAATGTTGTGATTTCACTAAAGTGAAAATAAAATAACTGTCAAATAGTTTAGTATATTATTAGAAATAATAAATGCCACTATTGATCGAAAATTTAGTGACTTCATTACCGTCGTTTACGTTGAATTATTCGAGTTTAAGGTCATGTTGACAGCAGGAATCAGAAAGATGAGGACATTGAATCAATACCAAATCTTATTCTTTATGAAGAAAGTGATTCCAACCATTGATGCATACTTATACTTACATACTTTATTATGTTGTACCGAAGAATTAAACTATTATGCTTGTAATAAGTTGAAGTTTATACTGAACTTTTTCACTTCAGTTGTATTCGTTAGAATAATAAAGATAGCATAATAGTTTAATTCTTCGGTACAACATAATAAAGTATGTAAGTATAAGTATGCATCAATGGTTGGAATCACTTTCTTCATAAAGAATAAGATTTGGTATTGATTCAATGTCCTCATCTTTCTGATTCCTGCTGTCAACATGACCTTAAACTCGAATAATTCAACGTAAACGACGGTAATGAAGTCACTAAATTTTCGATCAATAGTGGCATTTATTATTTCTAATAATATACTAAACTATTTGACAGTTATTTTATTTTCACTTTAGTGAAATCACAACATTGTGCACTTTTAACTTTATCAGATATAAAAAAAATGTATGAAATTGTGGTGCGTTTACTGAGTTTTTTATTGATAAATAAGTTCGAAATTCACAAAAGCGTTCTTAAACGTACAGCTTCGTCAATTCAATGTACTTGGTGACTTTTTTTCAATAAGACAACGATATGTTATTCAATTATTTGAAAGTAAACGAATGAATTTCGTATATCATGTATGGCATGAATCCAAGATTGTCGTTCTTTCTCAACTACATGGGATGGGGAGTATAATATACAGTGAAATTTATCTAAGCAGACACTTCTCTATAGCGGACAGTTATAATAATTTTATAGTATTATGGTATTCCTCATAACGGACGCTTAACGGGCTTAATACAAATATTTTTATCTGATATTTTGATGACAACCATTATATTTATACTAGCGTAGTTTAATTATACATATTCTGGTAATTCGCTTAGGTGGTAAATTTACTCTTTTAAGGTTGGTTCGTTCGCTAACAGAATTGGTTGAGTATTCGCGAATTATCCTTTCAATTCAAAATTCTAAAAACATAGGTATGAGATATTTCAGAGAATATAAAAAACTTAAGAGAAGATTGGTTGGGGTATTCAGTAAAAAAAAGTTTTAATTACTAAATCATATTTATTTTTATTTTTAGACGACGTTTGGGCCCAAAGTTCAGGCTTTCATCAGGGCTGGCCAGACGAAAGGTTACGTAAGACCAGCCCTTATAAATATAATTTATTTATTTTTCATTTTTTATTTGAACACCCCAACTAATCTTCTCTTCAATTATTCACTACAGCCATCCATCAATCAACAATTATGAGTATAAAAAACATTTTCTAAAACTTCAAGAGCTTAGAAAATAGAGATCAAGTAACATTCCTCTATCTACACTATCGCAGAGAAACATGCGCGAGCCAAGCAAACAACTACAATTTTAAACGCTTGTGCTCGCCTTGAATTGGCAAACGCGGTAAAACTGCAATTGATTGTGGACAAAGGAATACCACACGCCTACAACAATAATAGTGAATTTATTTAATCTTGTGTATTTTTAAAAATAGGTATGTATGATGAGTTATTTGATGCTCGTGTTACATGCTGTATGTTACAGGACCATAAACATATTGGTGGGAATCAATTGGACCATTAAGAAAATTGGTGGAGGGGGGGATCCCCACCGCCCCATAGGGATCGAAGTTCAGAGAGATCGGCACTGCTCGAGATTTTCTGCATTAGAGGCGGTGCATACCGTAGTAAAACTGGTTATACCATGGACTCAATACAAAAGGCAATTTTTTAAACCGTTACACGTATAACGCATTACATTTTAATCGTTTCTGATCTTCTCCAAAAAATTACATTTCATCGACTTTTTATTTTATTTTTTTTATTCAGTCCAATTTTTCTTTTATTCTTGATTATTTTCGTTTAGAAACATTGTGCACAAGAGAAATTTAAACGGATTTTATTCAAGATATCAATTTACACCAATCAAGTAAAAATCAGCAAATGGAATGACGATGTAAGAAATTATAATACCAAACTTGGAGAATGATAGTATCATTTTTTGCCCAACTTGATTCAGTTACTTTGTTTAAGAATAGAAATCTCTCATCCAGCTCTTTTTAAGTCTCATCATCGTTTTTCGTGTCACGTTAGTAATAGTGGTAGTATCTCTTATTGTTCTGGTACATTCATTGGTTGCCATCATGTGATGTTCATCTTTTGGCAGTTGGAGGTCCATATGTATAGTTTTGTTAATCTCGTCAAGGATTATGGGTCTGAAGTTTTTGTTATAGGGTCTTTTTGGCTATACCGTTTATCTTCGAGGAGTATGACCATATGGGTTTTTGTAATCTTCAACTTTAACGATTTGGAAAAGAATGGTTAAAGTATTTGGTTTTAAACTGATTTTAAAATTAATTTTCGCTCTATATCAAAATTGAAATTTAGAGAATCTCACTCCCGTGGGTGCGGGTTTTTGTTCTTATTAAACTGTTATTCATTCTTTCTTATGAAATTAAACTAAGGTCCACTTTTAAAATTAGATCCTGAGATTCGAGCTAAGTTAGCGTTATCATGACTATATATTATTTATGTTTATATTTATGTACCCACGCAACATAGTGGTCTGTCCCAGGTGATTTAAATATAAATCTCGAAATTGGCATATGACGTGTTTTTATAAGTTGGTATAGCTAGCAAAAGAAGAATTAGTCGAAACAATATAAGTAAAAATTATGGCAAACATTGAGAAATGTAAGTCCCAGAAGAGGGTTTCATGGCGTAAGTTACGCCATAAAAATTTTTGAGAGGGCATTTTGACGGGTTGATGAATTTTTAAAATGAAAGACTCAAACAAAAAGACTTGGTTGAAAGCAAGCAACAGACTGCAGGAACTGTAAGTGTACTCGTATATAATCTACGATTTTTCTAATCCTACTTTCGCTTGTACTGTTTTTAAAAAGAGTTGAGCAACAAAATATTTTGGGAAGGGAGAGATACGCCATTGGCCTTGGGAGGAAGAAAGATGAGTATCCCTGTGAAAGCCAGTATTTAATAATAGAGCATACTGGTTTCATTGTCATAGTGAACAACTATGAAGTCTCACACCTACAAATTAAGCTTTTTTTAAAAAAAAAAAAATAATAATAAAATGGTTTTGATATATAGAATCGAACCTTTTCAAAATTTGTGAACTGAATTCATAAAAAATTCCAGTTGGGCAAAATAAATATTTTTGTTATTGAGTAGGAATTTGAAATGAAGTATCATAATTATTCTTAATTAAGAAAAACATAATCACTCAATTCAATAGAAATCATTTTCATAATATGTTTCACTTCAGTTGCGAAACACAAGAATAAAATCGTTGACCGCTATATTTATTTAAGGAAACAAAAAATAATTAATAGAATGAATCAGAAATACTGATAGATAGTCTAAGAAAACGTAAAAAATAAAATCAATCTTTCGGATCTAACTGAATTCCTCAGAGAACATATGAAGATTCAAGATCACAGAAGCATTGCAAGTAGCAGCAACATGG